CCGGGAAAGCCAATCTCTGGAACAGGCTGTGTGTGTTCTGGTCTGTAAGCCCCCCCCCCCCACCCCATCAGCTATGGTACAGACGAAGCCTTGTCACTGTCAAATGTTTAGCAGGTAATACCCTTTAGTGAACTAGAAACCTGCACTGACGCCGCACGCCTGGCAGGCTAGGAAAGGTAGATGCATTTGGGGTTATGCACATGAAAGCTCTACATCCTCCTGCGGTTCAAGTGCCATTTTTCTCGTAGGTAAATGGAAAAGCAGCCTCAGGCCTCCTGCTGGGATCAGGGGTCCTTCAGCTGCACCAGAGGAGCTTTGCTTTCAAGATGCGATACTCGCTATGCTGGTACGTGACCAGTTCAACTAGGTTGAAATAAAAGTGAATTTGCCCAGAGCTGGGTGTTACTTGCATTGGTACTGTTACTTGTGGTAGCAAACATTTATTGTGAACCACATGCTGAACAGACCTCAGGATTTCAAATAAGCCAGTTTGCCCTCCCTGGCTGCATTAAAATACGTTCCCCCAGATGAATTTAACCTCGTGTCAGCAAAGCACTTTAGCTCTAGGTACCAAAGACGAGCTTCAGCAAGGGCACAATCCCACCAGACACACCAAAGAGCGTGAGGATGAGAAGCCCTTGTGTAAGAAAGAAGGGTAATTGTGGCTTTGGGGTATTAAAGAGACCCTCAGCAGCTGTAGGGAAACGCCTGCATTCCCTAGGGTTCTCATCACAGGATCACGGAATGGTTCTGGTTGAGAGGAACCTCTAAAGGTCATCTAGTCCAACGTCCCCTGCAATGAGCAGGGACATCTTCAACTAGATCAGGGTGCTCAGAACCACATCCAGCCTGGCCTTGAACGTCTCCAAACAAAGTAATTTCTTCCTTGTTCAAGCAGAGGATGTGCTTTTGCTCTGATTTACTGGCCCCAGGTATTTCTATAGCAGGATCTAGATCTGTCCAGCTGTTAAAAAAGTGTCACTCTGCATTTATGCCAATGTTAAGAGAAAACAAAGGCCTGCATCCAGATCTTGAGCCCCAACTCAAGAGGGATGTGGAGCTGCTCGAGTGAGCCAGAGGAAACCACGGTGACGCTGCAAGGGCTGGAGCAGCTCTGCTCTGGAGCCAGGCTGAGACAGCTGGGCTTGTTCAGCCTGGAGAAGAGAAGGCTCCTTAAGGGGAAACCTTAGAGCAGCTCCAGTGCCTAAAGGGGCTTCAAGAAACCCGGAGAGGGGCTTTGGACAAGGACCCGTAGGGACAGGGCAAAAGGGGATGGCTGTAACCTGACAGAGGGGGGACTGAGACAAGCTCTCAGGCAGAAGCTCTTCCCTGTGAGGGTGCTGAGGCGCTGGCACAGGGTGCCCAGAGGAGCTGTGGCTGCCCCTTCCCTGGCAGCGTTCAAGGCCAGGTTGGATACAGGGGCTTGGAGCAAGCTGCTCTAGTGTGATGTGTCCCTGCCCACCCCTGGCAGGGGTTGGAACTGGATGAGCTTTAAGGTCCCTTTCAACATGAACCATTCCATGATTCTATAAAATGCAGAAATGGGGAGGAGAACTACAGGCCAATTACAGACCAGTTGGGGAAAGCAGAGGGTAAATGCATTTCCTCTCCTGGCAAGGTCAGAGGAGCATGTGCTACAATTACCAGACATACCTCTGCTCTCCTCTGTTGCTTCCCATTAGCAGAAACCTTTCTTTTCTTTTCGGTCTTGCAGCTGAGAGAAAGAGGTTAAAAAGAACTTCTGGAGCTCCTGAAAGGGTCTGTTCTGGCACACACAATGTCCACACGAGTGCACGCTGCTCCGAAACAGAAGGGTTCTTGTATTTACCTAGGAGCAAGAACTGGGTTTTTCTTCAGTTCAAGCAACCACTGACATGAGTCCACAGCATCAACACTGATGAGGCTGATAGGCTGGTGTGTCTAATACCAGATATCACATCTTCCACCTTGCTTACCTTAGGGTTCAGCACAGCTACTGAGCACCACTGCTAGCCACCAAACACACCGGCTGAGGAAGTGATGAGTGATGAGAGGCTAGACCTCAGTGGAAAGTTCTGCCACCATTTATTTAGCCAGCAGATCGACACTCAAGACCAAACGGGGGTAAAATCTCCTATGCAGGAGGAGGAGGTGCCAGGGAAACCCTTAAGTACCAGCGAGCTGTTGGTGCTGGGCACCAGCCCTGTACATGTAGCCTGTGCCCATCCTGCAGCCCCACAGGCTGGCCCTGCTCCTCCTGGCCAGGATGCGTGGCTGCACAGGCCCCACACGTCCTGCCTCTGCTGACACCCGCGGCTGATTCTGTGGCCCTAAACCTACAGGGAATATCACCTGGGGTGCATTCTCTCTTGCTCTCTGTGAACTGCTGCTCAGGGTCCTGCTGGGGCTGCAGGGAGGCAGAGGAGCACCAGGTACCTGGTTTCTGCGCGGCAGCGCAGCCCCTGCGATGCAGACGTCCATGCAGTAGGTCGTCACCTCTTTCAGTTTCTGTTCTTACTCCAGGGTATTCTCTGGGCACTTTACCTGGAAGATCACATCACGTTATTTCCTAACAGGACCCAGGAATCGGAAGCTAAATCCATTCTAACATGGGAAACAAGCAATTCAAAAACTTCCCTTTTTTGACCAAATGAACCCCTCATCCGCTCCCAAGGTCTTCTGAAGCAGTTCCGTGGTTAGCGTGGTGTCATTGATGCTTTCAAGGGATGCAGTGACAGATGAGCCTGAAAGAACACAAAAGAACAAAGCACTGTGCCTTAGGTCATTGTATTTGAGAGCTGTGAACAACAGCAGCAAGGCCAGAGCAGGCAGTCGCCACGTTTCTTCATGCTGTTTGGAAACGGGGAGGAACAGCCCCTCACCTAAGTGCTGTGGCCCTTACCTAGAGCTCTTCTGCCCCAGAGGCAGTGCGTCCGCTCACTCTTTCTGGCTGTGCTTCCCTCCCAGGTCAGCTCGCTGCCCAGGGCCTGCCCAGCAGTGCCCATGGTTGCATTAACACCCCTGGGAAGTACTGCCCTGCCCAACTCTAGCCTCATACCTGTGCAGCATACATATTACGTCTTTGCTGACAGCTACCCATCCCTTCGAGAGGAAAAAACAGGGCTGTTGCCACAGATGTGGCAGGTTTGAAGGCAGCCGATGCAGAAAACGCCATGCTGTACACCATGCTTCCCACCCCGTTTCCTTCTTCTTCTGCCTCTGCTCAGTTCAGGTCCCTTCCCTCACCCACCACACCTCCTGTGCTGTCCTTAATCACTTCAGCCACCACAGTCACCCCTCACCCCTCCGGTACCTGCTCACTTCTGAGCTCCCCACACAAGGAAGGAAGGAAGGAAGGAAGGAAGAGGATTTTACATGCAAGGGGTCTGGTGCATCTGCTTCTTCGTGGCATCCTGCTGGGAAAGCCACTGGATGTTTGCCACCACGGTGCTACTGTGGCACCCACAGTGCCTTCAGCCTCTGCCTTGCTTCTCCTCCTCCAAGCTCTGTTAAAGGTCTGGAAGAAGCCTGACCCCAACATGACACCACTGAGCCCCTGTGGGACCCCATAACCCCCCCCAGTGCCCCCATAACCACCTCTGGGACTGTCCTATCACCCCTCCTGGGACTCTCCTAAACTCCCCCATGACGCCTTTTGGACCCCCCCCGCCCAACACCCACTGGGACCCCCATAATCCCCATTGAACCACCCCCAACACCCCCACCCCTTCTTTCGGCCCCTCCCCCCAGAGGGGGTCCGCTTGGGGCAGGGGGGGCTTATGGCCAGAGCTGCGGGGGCTCCTGCTGCTGGTGCTGCTGGCGAGGACCCTGCTCTGCCTCAGGTGAGGGGGCCACAAGGGGCTATGGGGGTAATGGGGACTATGGGGCATAATGGTGGCTATGGGGCTTATTGGGAGGTCACTGAGTCACCTGTGTCCTTTGTGCCCCCCCTTCAGGCGCAGCAGCCTCTGGCACAAGGAGGACATGGAAGAACAGATGGGGCACGGTGAGAGTCACCCACTGACACCTGTTGACACCCATGGACACCCACTGACATACATTGACATCTATGGACATCCACTGACGGTTTTTGACACCCATTGACACCCACTGACACTCACTGACGACATCCATTGACATCTATTGATATCTATTGACTGCCACTGGCAGTTATTGACACCCATTGACATCCACTGACACCCACTGCCATCTATTGACTGCCACTGCCACTGCCACTTCTTGACACCCGCTGACAGACACCCATTGACATTTATTAACTGCCATTGACAGTTATTGATACCCACTGACATGCATTGACAAAATCATTGACACATGGGGTACCCATCTCTGGGTGACGCTGGGTGCTGGTGGCAGAGGGGAAGCTCTACATTGACCCACTGACACACGAGGACCAGGGGCTGGCGCTCAGGGACTTTGCACAGGATATCGATGTCACCTGCGTCAAGATCGAGGAGGTCATAGGGGCAGGTGACCCCCATTATCCCCATGGGGTCCCTATAGGTCCTATGGGTATCCTACGGGGTGACCGCATCCCTGTCCCCATTGACGTCCCCATCACTCACCCCATTGCCATCCCCATTGAGGTCCCAATCGACGTCCCATTGATGGCTCTCCCATGCAGTCCCCATGGTGGCCACAGGGCGTCGCTGTCCCTATAGGAGAGATAGGGGAGGAGCTGGAGGGGTTGGGGGGGATGGGGGGGTTTAGGAGTTAGGAGGTGAGGGAGCACTGTAAGCTGTGCTGTTTCCACTTGTAAATAAGCTTCTTTTTTTTCAAACAGGAAAGTGTGTCAGTGTCCTCCCTTCCCCACCCCCCACCCCCTTTCCCCCCCTCCATTCCCCACAACCCCCACTCCCCCAACCCCTCTTCCCGCCCCCCCGCCCATCCAACCCCCCAAACCCTCCCTCCTACCCTAACTCCTCCTACCCCTATGTTCCCTATCTCTATTCTCAACTCATGTCTCTGCTATAACCAGCCTAATAAAGCTCTTCTATGCCACATTAGCATACCCAAAGTGCCACCTATGCCACCCAATCTAACACCCACACTTCCCAAAGTGCCACTTAGCATACCCAAACTAAAACCTATTGTTCCCTAAGTACGACCTACACGTGTGAAACCCTAAGTGACACCTATGATACCCAACCTAACACCTATGGTTCCTAAGTACCACTTACCATACCCTACCTAAGACCTATAGTATGTAAAGTGACACCCATGATACCCACCTAACACCTGTGGTTCCCTAAGTGCCATCTATGATACCCAACCTAATACCTATAGTATGCAAAGTACCACTTATGATACCTAGCCTAACACCTATGGTACCCAAAGTGCCACCTATGATACCCAACCTAACACCTATGGTCCGTAACTGCCACCTATGATACCCATCCTAACACCTATAGTATGCAAAGTGCCACCTATGATACCCATCCTAACACCTATAGTACGCAAAGTGCCACCTATGATACCCAAACTAACACCTATGGTTTCCTAAATGCCACGTATGATACCCAACCTAACACCTGTGCTTCCCAAAGTGCGACGCATGATACCCGAACTAACACCTATAGTATGCAAAGTGCCACCGATGATACCCAGCCTAACAACTATGGTCCCTAAGTGACATCTATGATACCCAACCTAACACCTATAGTATGCAAAGTGCCACCTATGATACCCAACCTAACACATATTGTTCCCTAAGTACAACTTAGAATGTGCAGCCTAACCCCTATGGTACCCAAATTGCCACCTATGATACCCAACCTAACACCTACAGTACCCAAAGTGCCACCTACAATACCCCCCTAACATCTATCGCTCCTGAAGAGCCACCTACGACACCCAGTCTAACACGTATGGTACCCAAAGTCCCACCTATGATACCCACCTGACACCTATGGTTCCCTCTTATGATACCTAACTTAACACCTGCGGTTCCCAAAGTAACACTGAGACTACTCAACCTAACACCTATGATAGCCGACCTAACGCCAGCTCAAGTGCCACGTACACTACACTACACTAAGTGCCACCTACGCTACCAGGCCTGACTCCTACAATACCCTAAGTGCCACCTACACTATCCACCCTGATACTCTACCCAGCCAAACACCCTTGGCACCCAAAGTGCCACCTACCGTATCCAACCTAACATGAACACTACCCAAAGTGCCACCAACAGCACCCAGCCTAACACCTATGATTTCCAATCTAACGCCACCTCAAGTGCCACCTATTCCACTAAGCCTGACACCTGCTATACCCACGGAACCACATGTGGTATCCAACCTAACACCTATAGTACTCAAAGTGCCACCTACCAGAACCCATCTAACACCTCTGCTACCTCAAAGTGCCACCTACCTATGCATTGTAACACCTATTGTTCCTGAAGAGCCACCTGTACCACCTAACATCAATGGCTCCCAAAGTGCCATCAACAGTATCCAACCTGACCCCTATAATACCCAAAGCAACACTGACACTACCCAACCTAACACCTTTGTTATACAAGCTAACACTTATGCAAGCCAAATTGCTGACACTGACCTCAATTGCCACCTAAACCACCCAGCCTGACACCTGTGATACCCAACTTCACACCTGCGATACCCACCTTGATACCTGAGCCACTTGACACCTACGCTTCCCAACCTGCCACTGCCTGTGCCCCTTAACTACTGCCTGTATCCCTCCCAATAGGACAACCTGCAAATACCCTACACTGTGTCTCCAGTGTCCTTACCTGCATGGGGCCTCTCCTTGGGCCTGTGTTCCAGCTATGTCCTGTCTTCACCGTCTGCTGCTCATCCCTAAACACCCAAGGTGACTGCCACCAACCAGTGCCAAGCAGTGCCCTCCTGCATGGGCCAATGCAGGTCTCATCATCATCCTCTGATGTATCCTCACCTTTCAGAGCTTGTGCCATTTGTGTCACCCTTAGTGACATAAATCTCCATCTGTGTATGACCTCGCAGGGCAGTGCTCTCAGGCACTCCATAAACCAGCTCCCTATGTGTGAATGTCCAGATGCTGTGCCTAAACCTAATGTGTAAACACAAAAAGAAATACCTGGTCAGGTTCTACACAGGGTGCCCTCCAGAAGGGTGCCCCCAATAGGTATATCCTCACTTAGCCACCTACAACTCCATCTGTGTAAAGACTCACTGGACAGCAGTCTCCGGTGAAACACAAGCCAGCTCCCTAAGTGCGCATGTCCAGAAGCTATTCCTAAGCCTAATGTGTTAGGACAGACAGCTGGTGCTGGCCATCAGCTACATGTGGTGCTCTCTGACACAGTGCCACCAACACGGCAATCCACCCTTGCTTAGCCACGTAAAACTCCATCTGTGTATGACTTTACAAGGCAGCGCTCTCAGACACCCCATAAACCAGCTCCATAAGTGTGAATGTCCAGACACTGTGCCTAAACCTAATGTGTAAGGACAAAGGCAAATAGCTGGCCAGGCTCTATAGAGGGTGCCCTCCGGAATGGTGCCAACAACATGGATATCCTCACTTAAAACACCTAAAACTACCTCTGTGTAAAGCCTCACTGGAAAGCACTGGAAATCCCAATCCCTGAAATGATTAGGAATGCCATAATGAGACTGCAGAAGAAAACACATCTATAAATTTTTGAGTCTCTGAACACCGCATAAGTCAGAAATAAAAATAAAAATTTTATTTCCATGTTGGTAATAAAAATAATTTCATTACTTCTGTAAACCACTGTATAAATGCTATAGCATAAAAAAGTTTTAACAAGTGTTACCAGTTTTAAACAGTTCACTCCAAGTAAATACGTATTCATTATAAATAAAATGTTTTGTATTAAGAACAATTTAATTCACAAAATCATTTCTGTCTTTACACTCAAAACATTAATGGCTTCTATAAATTGACATAAGTAAAACTTTTGTATTTATTTAGGGTCTGATGATGACCATGGTTACATATGCATAGTGTGACAATAATATTACTACCTATATTTAATACTAGGATGCTCTGAAAATGATAGAGAACAAAACCAGTATGTTTTTAATAATATGCCATTCGAAGACTAATAATAAGTCTCTAATATGCATCTTGGGATCTATCTGTAATTAGCATACTTCTGTTTAAATTACAACTCCTAACTGTAAAACCCCTGAGAAATCACAATTTTAATGTACTATTCCCCAGTCTAAAATAATTGCGACAACATAATTGCATTCACATTAAAATTTATATTCTGACAAAAATTTACACAGAAATTTGTCAAATAACAAAATGAATCTCGAAAATCTATTTAGTTGCGTTTATGCATTTTGTGAATTCAGCAAGTTACTATACTATAGTGTCACTGAAATATAATTTATTGTATCTGTTTCTAGATAGTGTATAGAGCATAGGGACAAATACTTACAAGGGTCAGGTTTCTCTTTTGACTTCTTCCAAGTAGTTGTCAACTAGTCAACTGTATGTATTTTGTTTTCCTCCATTTTAAGCCACGTACATACTTGTATACACAATTATCTTGCTTTACTAAGATACAGAAATTTTGTTTTCAATTCCTCACATAAGTAACTTTGTGAAGAACAACTGTATTATTTCCATATGACTGCAGTGTATGATGATGTATGGGTCAAATGATTACTTAAGGATTTGTCTATAATTATAGCAGGCTGCCCAGGCTGAGAATTTCACACATAGGTATGTTTCTTTGGTATGTGTTTATTCCTTCTCCAAAAAATGGTTTCGTCGTAATTCTTAAATTTGTTTGTAATTCAGAACCAAAGAAACTTGCAGGGATCACCTGTAAAATTTTCAGTACTGGTATTACTATAGGACACATAATTATTTCCAAGATTCATCATTGTAAAACACAAAACATAAAAATATAAAAAGCAACAGACTAACCATATTAGCTCATTGCCTCTAAAAATGAAGCACGTTTTAACTGAGCGTGAATGTGATGATGCACACTGCTAGTGCTGTTCATATTCTTTTTTTGCTAGTGTCACGAGATTAGGAAAACTGCCTGTTACTACCAAAAAAACCCAACCAGGAATCAAAACCAGCCCTACAACATAGGCAAATACACTAAAATACACAAGAAGAACTATAAACTTGCACAAGACAGCACAAAGTCACTCTTCTGTATCATGGGTAACAAATGTCATTTAGCTGCATATGGGCAGCACAATGTGGCCTAAGCTGGTTTCTTCTAAAATACCAAAGCAAAAATTTCCACTAAGACATTTCTTAGTGGAAAATTCTTCATGAGCACAGTGGCTGCAGAACGCTGTTCCACACCAGATAAATGCAGCAAACCAGCGTCCAAAATAACTGCTTTTTGGAAAAATGTGTAACATAATTTCAAACTATAATTGTATATTATTCTTTGATTTGATCATTCTTTAAAAAAAAAAAAAACAAAAAAAAAAAAAAAACAAACCCAAAAACCCCTCCAAACAACAACACCTGACATAACTAAGTTTGCTTTAGTCCAAAATGCTGTTAAGGTTCAAAACCCAGTCTTTGTTCACAGACTGCACAGATGAAAAAAACAAACCAAACCAAACCCAAACCATTAATATCTACAGCAAACTTGATGTTCCAAGTTCCTTTTTTTGAAAGTCCAAACCTGGATATAACTTCAAAACATCACTATTTTACTTTAGGACAGAAAAGTGTGTCTGAAAATGCAAATACTGTCCAATTTTATATTCTTCTCAGTCCAACATTTTAGAGAAACTGTTACAAGCAATAAAACCCCATTATTAAATCCAACTTTGTCCTTTGACGCAATCTTCAGACAAAATTCTGAAACAGGAGCAACTAGAAATATATTTTGTATTTTACTCTACTTGTCCCTTCCCAAAAGGTCTCCAATGTTCCTGCAGATTGACATCTTTTAGGAAAGCAGTGACAAATCTGTGCATTTAGTCCTCACAGAAAACGTATAATGATTTTTTGTTAACTCAAGCCTTTGTACAAAGAATGCTAAAGGATACAGTGATTTCAGTAATACTGGCTTGGGCCCTTTATTTAATGCTGACACAGTTCTAAAACCTCTATTTTGTCAATAATAGTTTAAGTATACATCTTATTTTAACATGACTGAACTTTAAATATATTAACTCTTTGTTGCAAGTATGAACTCACTTTTTGTACTGAATACAGTAATCTGGAGATACAAATCATGTAACACAGTAGTAGATCATTTCAATCTAAGCTGTACCACTGCCACACCTGAACTTAATAGAGGGGAAAAAAAAAAAAAAAAAGGAGAGTAATGCAGGCACTTATTCCAGGTAAGAAAAGTAAAAATATACATGCAGTAATCAATTACCTTCTCTTCCTGAATTTCATGCTCCCAAATACCAGGATGAGGTAAGGATATTATCACCTTCTAAAAGAATCACTGTGTCAAAGTGCCACTGCTTGAAGCAGTTTTGTAGTTCCTTTCAAACGTGCATTATTTCATTTCTGAAAAAAGTGTGCTTTAAAATACTTACTAAAAGCAAGAGATTTAGTCTAGTTATTGTAAAATTGTTTAATAGAAAATTGAGCAATAGAAATTATTTGCAAAATTCTTTTTTTATGTCTTCTGTCATTTCATAGGATATTGGGCATAGGCACTTGGCAATATTATTTGTATCGTATTTGCGCCTGATGTGTACCACACAACTTAGGAGATATACAAAAACTTTAGGACTATAAACATCCAAACTGAGGGAAATATGCAAATGCACAGTTGTTCACTAAAACTGATCTGGTTTTGTCTCTGCTGGTACATTTATAAATACTACAGTACACACTTAACTTATAAATTGCAAAAAAACTATGTAAATTGTCATCTCTATTTAATCATATTGTGACTTAACAGTAAAACCATGTGAAATATTTATTCTCACAGTACACATACAACACATCATATTACTGCATATTAAAAAATAAACGTAAGACCTAGAAAGCAGCTTGAGGCAATTTACAACATATCTTCTAACAAAACACAATAATTAAAATGTGCTTTTATATTAGAGTTTTTCAAACATCCATGTAAACATAGTGTTAGACCAATTCCAAATACTGGCTCTGGCATTCTGTTCCACACACAACAGACATAGCAAAGGGACCATTTGTACTGTTGTGTGTGTAGTTACCACATCTACGTATCCATCTTCTGTTAATGAAAATAACCCAGGTATGAACACTTCATTCAGACATGACAGAAAAATTCATAGTGATTACAGTGCAAATGAACCTAAGTAGCTTGTGCACTAGGAATGTAAGTGGGTCAGAAAAGGCTGTAATGGGTTTGAGGGGGAATGAAAAAAACCCAAGACTATAGAACCTCATCAAATGACTGGAGTTGATGTGTAAAGGTCAGCAGGCCTTATTCTCTATTTTAAAGCAACTAAGTTTCTTACATCAAAATAGAAATCAGTCTAGCACTACTCAATTGATTAATTATGAGTAATATAATTCTTATACAAAATACAAACCCACAAAATTACTTAATTCATAAACGTGATAGGAGTACTGTGCACGTATGTTACCACAGATTATTTTTTTTCTGGCAGCAGGGACATTCCTCTTGTGCAGCTGCACAGTGATCACAAAGTACATAATGTTGACGTGGATTCAGGATAACGCTACGATCACCTTCCTGACATATGATACACTTCTTTGACTGAAGCTGAAAAATCACCTGTAAAAAGATTATTGCACTCAGCGAAAACAATTCCAAAGTAGACAGTTGTATTCTTGCAGCTTTACACATAGTAGTCCTGAATAAACTTCTAATTAACAACACAATGTTTTTGTATGACAGCTGAATTGACTATCATAATACATGCCAAGCTTGTGCAACCTTTAAAGTAGCAGCTGGAGAAGTGTAAGTGCTTTTAGAAAGGAAAATAGCTAGGATTAAACCTCTTCACTGAAACTTTCCCGCGTAATTGGGACAAGTGACATAAATAGGAAAAAAAACCACCAAAAAAAACCCCATCCAAAACCAAATAGCAAAAAAAAAGATTAATATACTTCCTCATTTTGCTATTTCAAACTACTGTCACTTTTTTTTATGCCATGCGTTAGGACAAAATGGAAGCATCCCAAATGTGTGACCCTTCAATAAAGCTACAGGCTTCAGTAAAGATACAGACTTTGGGGAGGTCGTTACAATTGCAAATGAATGTCTCCATGTGGTAAGTCATATAGGCCCTATTAAGGAACAAGAAAAAAAATAAAACCACCTAAAAGCTGTGTTATTTTTTCAAGAGCAAGACCAGAATGCTATGTGTGGAACTGCCTAAGACAGCAACTTTCTCCTGGAAGACCTGGGTGAGAAGAGGCCGCAATACTACAGAAAATCTGAGAAGCTGGCAAAGGTAGCAGTGGTTCTGATGACTTCCATTCCAGGATGTAATGAAGTTTTTGGTAAGTGATCCCAAGACTCTCTTGCTCCTCTTTAGAATCTCCCTTAAGTGAAAATCAATAGCAGTCCCTAATCCAATACAGAATTCTATAAATGTACTTGATAACAGGAGTCTGGTAACTAGCAAGTTTTGCCCTTGTCCACCTTCTTCATTGAAAAAGATCTAATTTATGTTTTAAACTCTGCTAAAGTGAGACTGGCTTTTTTTTTCCTTTTTTTTTTTTTTTGACTGGACAGGAGGTACACTAAGACAAAAAAGCACAGAACTCAAGTACTGAAGTATGGCAGACTGTCCCAGTAGTGAAAGGAAACCTTCTTTTGGTCTGGACAATCCTGTCACAGTCAAAATAAAACAATAAGAATTGGAGTCAGATGTGGTGTTGCTGTGCTTGAGTCTGCAGGAAAGAAAGCAATGTGAAACCAAGTTGTGCCCAGCAAGGTTTGAAGTATGGTGCTTGGAACAGTACATGGTCGTTATTATCTTCACTTATGTGCCCAGAGGGGTGGCACCTGATATTCCCAGCTTGGAGAGCCCTGAGAAATGCCCTCAATCTGGCAGTGAAAGAGCATCTTAAATTCTGGCAGAAGCTGAGTCTGGATTTGAGAGAAAGTGAAATACAGCAATATGCTGCTAAGGGACTGAACCATCTGACATATGAGGAAAGGCTGAGAATTGGGATTACATAGCCTTTTCAAAGAGATGGCATCTTACTGGTCTGTATAAATACCTGATGGGAGAGAGTAAAACAGATAGGGACAGACTCTTTTCAGTAGTAGCCAATGAAAGAAGAGCCTATGGGTCCAAGTTAAAATCCCACACAGACATAAGAAAAAACATTCCTTACTGTGAGGATGGTCAAACACTGGAAAAGATTGCCCTCTGAGGCAGTGGGCTCTCCATCCTTGGAGATACTCAAAACACCACCAGGAAAGGCCCTGAGCAACCTGCTCAAGTGGACTCTGGTTTTAGCAGGGTGTTGGACTGGATGATCTCCACACATCCCTTCTAATGTCAATGATACTCCACTCCAAGTGTGTACTGGCCACTCTGACACAAAGTCCTAGCAGGGAATCTCACCACTTACCTTCTGAAGAAGTGAAAAGCATGTAACTACTTTCATTTGTTTAGGGCAACTACTTTTATTTATTTAGCTAGTGCCCAAAATGTTAGGGGTAAAAGCTGGTTTTTTGTTTGGGTTTTTTTTAATCAGCCAAGAATTCTTGTGAATCACTTGCGATTTGTTCTGACAGCTGAACAATTTCTTAGAAGAATCCATTAGGTTGAGAAATCTACTGCATCCTCTATTATAGGATGAATACAGGATGAAAAGAAAGACATTAAGACTTAGAGCAATATTGCTCTTTGAAATGAAACCTGTCATAAAAATTTCATTGAGGTTATTGAGCTGCTACTTTCAGTCAATCAAAAATAGTTATGCAGATGAATAAACTTACCTTGTCTATTGTTTCTAAACCTGAGTGCAGCCGATTTTGTAAGGAACGAAGCTTTGGCAAGGGTATCTTATCTATATCGCCACAGTTTTTCATATAAGGCAGTGTAGTACACAGACAAGCAGCTAATTGTGCCTTTAGCTTTTTTATTTTGCTTTCCACTTCCTCCTTCTTCTGAAGAGCTAGCTGTTTGTCTGCATCTGCAATGTTAGCACGTTCTTTTGCTTCTTGAGCCTCTTTCTGCCATGCATCGCATGCCTGGGAGAAAGACATTTCCAGAATATAATTTTTTTTTTAATTAACAAAATAAGAAAAAGTCAAAAGGCAAAAAGATATAACAATGCATTCACTGTCCACTTCACACTTCTCCCTACTTTTCCTACCTTCTAAATAACAGCTCTTCTTGTTTTGTAATTTGTAATGTGCTTTTTAGATATTGTCACTGTTACTTGTCTGTAAATAGCCAGAAGCCTTTTGGGAGGTCTATAAACAAAACATATTTTAGATGTTAAATTTGTAATTTAATGTCAAGAGACATAAAAAAAACTATCAAAATTTAGTTTAGCTACTCCTCATCATAGAGAGAACAACATGAGGGGAAGAAAAGGACTGAAGAAAAGGACTACAGAGAATGCATGACTGGCAGCTATCAATAACCTCGGTTTGACTGCTGAGGTGGCTACATACTGTCCAGGCACACTATGCACCCATGGCTGCTGACAAGCCTCTACTTTTTTGCATGCTTACCATGTAAAAGAGCTATGGGAGGGAATACCTATCTTTCCTTACTGAAACATCAAGATATGTTGCTGTTCAGCACTATCTTGAATATGTGTAAGTGTCCCTGTCTAGACAGGCAGATTAACCTTGGGAAAATAAACTGCCCTTTAAACAGCTGTTTCCTTTATATTGTTAGCATTTCAAGGATGAAAAAACACTCCTTTGACAGACTGTAATAAAACTGTGTCCAAGGATAAGAACATACGTAAAAATGAAAAAGAGAACTAACTGCTTGCTTGTTAAAATATATAGGTATATAATTAAATATTACCATAAATCAGCATACCTGTTTTACCTGTTGCCAAGATTCTTCCCATTGTTTTAGTTTTCTCTTGGCATCATCAAGTTCCTGTCTAACTTGAGTTAGTTCATTCCCAGTTGTGTTTGAACTTACTGAGGGGGTAGTGCCACTGCTTAGCACTGGGGATGGACTAGGAGAGAAATTCTCAGTTATGAAGTCCCAAGTGCTCCCTGTAACACCATTTAAACCTGTAAAACAAAGGCAGAAAAAAACAATTATTTTGCACACACTGCTGAAAAATGTTTCACATCTGAATAAAATAGATGTGCCACATATGCAAAATATACACTTTAATCTGAAAGATTCATAACATTATTTCACTACCTTCAGAAATGTGACAGTCAGGAAAATGTTTTTGGTATTTTCAGCAATTCAGGAGACTTACCACTTTTTTTTTTTCTTGCCACTTTTAATAAAAGTATAGTCCACAAAAGGAGAAGGAAGAGTGAGAATTCATTTACATACAAAATGGTTTGTTCCTAGCAGCTCATACGTAATGTTATTTCTTTCTCTTTCTCTGTTCTGCATTTTCCTTTAGCAAAATGCTGCAGCTAAAATGCATTCTTGCTGCCTGTATGCAATCTCTGTATTTTACTCCTTTCAAAACCTCTAAATATATCTCCTCTTCCACGAATTCTTTTTTTCCCTTCACTAGGAACAGAATTTCACTCCCTGAACTTTCTCCCACATATCACATACACTCCATTATCAGTAGTGTGATCAATTACAACCACAAGGCTTTGTTTTCCAGATGAAGTCATGAGAAACATGCAAAGCTTTGAACTGAACACTTCTCACCTGCTATTAAGTTCCCTTCTACAATACACAAAGTGCAGCCTTCAGCTTACTTACCTAAAGAGTTGTGAGAAGAGGCAGAGGTGCCTAACATGCTATGTTCTGTCTTCAAAGGCAACTGGTGGAAAGGAGCCGTAGCAGATGAAACAAAAGACTGAGACAGCGATTGTGAAAGAGAACTGAGTGGAGAATTTGAAAGGGATGATGATGAATGTAAAGATGAGGAACGAACAAGAGAACCTGGAATACTGACAGGTGCTGAACTTCCCAGTAATCTTTGACCTATGTACGCATAGGGGAAGAAAGAAAAAAAAACAAAAACAAAACAAAAACCCCATTTGTTCCAAAGCAGTACACAGCTTTCTGTAAGCAATTTTCTGAAAGACATATCAAATGTAAGTTAAATTACATATTCAAACATCTTACATTAAAAAAAACCAACAATCTTTATTTATCTCCTATTGCAAAAATATTTTTTTTAAATTGAACACTTGAAACCGAACATTTTCAGGCAATAGTTTTGCTAGTGCCAGCAAAACAGAATCTGTAGCTTTATACAGCAGTGGCTTCATCTGCAGCTACAAAGAAAAGCTTTTCAGATCAAGTTATTCAACTTACTCATTTTTATAGCCTACAACTAATGCAAGTGGAAAACCTGACTGAAACTTGAAGAATTAAGAAAAAATATGTATTTTGGTTAAGCAAGTGAGACTACAGACCTTGAAAATCATACGCAGAGTAATTATCAGACATATAGCTCAATTTCCTTTGTCTACATTCTTTTGCTTTTGCTCAATAGATTTACCTGTCAAATGTACTCAACTCTCTATAAAAACTGAATTTGAAACAAAGTGAAAATTAATAATATTATATTTTATGCTTTTCTGAGGGAGTGAGGGCACCTGATATTCACTTGGGTCAAAACGATTTCCAAGCTTTACGAAAGACTTGAATCTGTAATACTTGGGTAGTGTCCATTCCACTGCAGTCCCAGTGACAGTATACATATTTCAACAACATCAAATACATCTGTATATTTTTTAAAGGCCGTGGACTAAAGATACAATAATTGTCTTAAAGGAAGAAGAACTGCATAACATATAGAGACACTAAGTGCAAGCTTTTCTACCTGGAGCAAGGGACAGCAATAATGAACTAGGGTGTAGCTATAGCTGTTTTACCCTTTGAGTCTAGAGCCACGGGTCAAGAAGGACATGGGAGGAACATGTCTGCCATCCAAGAATACAGTTCTGTTTGTCCAAGTGGAAGCCCAACACATAGGCACAACCAACGTAATTACTCCTTCAAAGAAATGCTAGCAAAACAGGTATCAGAAAATAAAGTATTATAAAAACATGTCTGTTCTCTTGCTGTATGTCTCAAAGGGTTACAGTTCCTCAGCTTTCACTTACTATTTTTCTGGGTTTTTTTATCTCAATTATTTTCTTTTCTACTTACACAAGGAAAAGGTGTCATTTTAATTTCTTGATGTTAAACAGCCAGAACAAAACTAAGGAGTTTTCTTCAAAGTCTTTGCTGTCTGTAACTATTTTAATGAGCAAAAGTTTAGGAAGCCAGAAAAGAAAGATATTTTAAATTAGCATAATTTTACAAATTGGACCTCTTACTTGTTAATCCAAGGTCACTGCCTTTTTGATCTTCTAAGTCTCTATTTACAGATGCAACGTTCACATCATTAAAATGCAAATCTAAAGCAGAACCTGTTAAACAAAACATTGTATCAGTACATTATCCTTGAATTACCCATAAATCACGATGGCTGAAATGAGAAAAGTTTGTCTATTTTTGTTAGTGCTTCCTTCATGGAACACTTCTGCATCTAGGTCATGATCTTAAGCACACTACAGACACACAGTGAAGGATATCTGTGTTTACTAAAAGGGAAAACTCTCATATATAAGCTATTACAGCTCTTTAAGTTGGTGAGATGAATAGAGAGTAATGGAAAGATGGCAGTTTATCTGGTTTTTTAAGAAATCTGTGTCACCCGGTGTGCTTTCAACAGAAAAAGAGGAAAAACAAAATTTAGATACCTATGTAAACATATTTTTTATTATTATTGAATAAAAGCAGGTATGAAACCTTCAGAGAGACTGCAAATGTCCTTTACAACAATTAGCCCTTGGGGTAACAGAGTTACATATCAGGACATACAGATGTAAAGAATGTCACAATATTAAAATGAAAATGTGCAATACTTTAAAATAAATTAACTAAAATTCAAATATCAGCATTCCTTTTAGACTGAACAGTTAGACTGCCTTTTGTAATGTCTTACATCAGTCTAAGACTTCTCTGGCCAATGACAAAGTTCTAAACAGTATACTTCTTATTAGGTCCACTGCTTATAAAGCGTTAGAAGTGAGGTTTTTTTTCCCTTTCTTCCTCTTAACTTCTTTTCTGTGCAGAAAGGGGTGTAATTAAGGAATTTATCCCTCTGTTCCTATACTTTATCTAATGTTGAACAACTCCACAATCAGGAAGACACAAGAGAAGTCTACAGACATACTGATTTTGCAGGCAGGAAAGTGAATATCCCAGTCATTGTGGTCAGTGATAGTGATCACCTTTATGAAGAATTTTTTTATTTTATGTTGAAAATCACTATTGCAAACTGGCACAAAGCCTAAATGAAAAGGAACCAACAGAAATTAAAGACACACTGACTTGTGTAAAAGTTTCAATAAGATCCAAAAGAGATCACTCAATCCCTTTGGAATTAGACTGATTCCTCTCTCATAGCCTAGTCCTAAACAATATGCACTGTAAATGGCAGAAAATCTTTGGTAGAAGTACTATATAGTTGTAAAAGTCTAAAAGTCAGAAATTAAAGTACAATTTGGATCATTAATACATATATAGCACTGCATTACTACATATAGGCATTTTCTGATGTTGACTAGGCTATCCAACAGACTCCACTGACTTGGAGCTCCAGATGATACATAAAGGGAATTAAGTGATCTAGAAGCAGGATCCACAGAACAGTGCACAGCAGAAAGCTGCCTAAGCTGTCCAGAACAAAATATGAGCCGAGAAATGAAGTTCACATACTACATAATGACACTCATGACAAAGATCCCTGAGACTTAATATAGCTCTTTGTGAAGAGTTACTAATCTAGGTCTCAAAAGCAACACAACTTTATCAGTATGGAGCTGTGCCCTAACAATAATACTTATCTTCCAGCAGTACTGACAGAGCAGCTTAGTGTCCAGCAGTCAGAGGAAGGAAGTTCATCTCTACATCATCATTTTGGCCTGAAGAGATATACCCTAGGTTTTTAAAGTTTTCCAGCAATAACCTGTTCTAGGAGACAGGTGCCCAAGCCTGTCATTCTATAAAACACAGGATGGGAGAGACGGCCTCCTTTTATTTGATGACATCAAGTGGCCACAAGCGCTGTGTGAAACCCAGCTTAAAAGTTCCTCTTCTGTACTGAGTTTTGGATCCCCACTGCTGCACTGTGCCTTCCCTACCTTTGCCTTATATAAGTAAGGGTCTTTCATCTGCAACACTGTAGCCTGCCTCTTTTGCCCTTTCACCCTACTGCATTGGTAGAGCCTTCCAGAGTTTCTGAGGCAGTATATGTTTCCTTTCTTGTTCTCACGTTCACCATCTTGCTATGCTCACCATCTGGCGGCACCTACCAACCAACCCTCAGAGCACTGCTATGGTAGGGTTTTAGGGGAAATGACTGCTGCTGGTGTGAGAACCACGCTTCCTTTCTCCTCTTCTCCTGCTTCTGATTGTAACTTTTGATTTACATTAGAGGGACTGTACATCTCTGGACATCTCAATAACAAATTAGCACGCAACATCATCCACCGACCAAAGCGTGCTCCAATTAATACTACTAACATCATAAGCAGGAAGAGCCCATTAGGAGTTTGGGACAGTCTTGGTGAAAAACTACAGTTAATACAGTTAGCATAGGAAAAGTATTATGTGGGAGAGAACTAGCTGCTACATTTAAGTGGATGCCCAAGAGATGATGTTCATCCAGCCTGCCTGTCGCTTCTATTTCCACCCAGCCACTAGGACAGTTTTCTCTCCCCTTTCCTCTCTCACTCTTGTGTTTGTTTGTTTGTTTAGGAATAACTTTCACCACTATGTGCCATCTGCTATGCTACCTACTAATAAACCTTCCCACATGTGAACTTGTCTCAACCTCCTCCATGCAAAACCACCATACACCTGTGAGAGCAAACTTTTCATCACTATGCTGCACGATGTTCTGAGAGAGATCCTTCTCACTTCCACCAATTGAAGCTGTTCCACTTTCTTTCAAAAAATTCAAAATTCTCTCAATCATGAAAAGAGAGGCTTTAAAATCCCATCATTAGCACCATCATTATCGTTAAACAGGAAAACAAACCAGGGTTCTTCCCAAGGTCTTGCAATTCCACACATCACTCATATGTTAATATTTGAAGTTATTTGTGATGTCTGGCTCAGTATGTTGCTAGCAGGAAAAAAACACAATGAGGCTGACATAAATCATGCTGCTCAAATAGTAGATCAAATCTAAGCCTGCACCCTACTAATCATTAACCTGTCATGCTCTTCTCATGAAGCCTTAACTCACTCTGCCACACTTGTCCTCCCCTACCACAAAAAGGATGGACATGTCTCCTTAGCGATTATTATATGGATTTTCAAAGCTTAATTTTTGTTACCTTTTGGCTCTCTCAGATTTCACATCACACAGTGGAAAGTCAGTGGAGTGCAGGGAAAGAACACAGACAACATCTTAAGATAACAACATATATGGGAAGCAAATTGAGACACACCAATTTTCCTTGAATGGCAAGTTTCCCGGATAGGCAAAATCCCCACGCTTGAGTATGCGACAGAAAGCAACAGAAGCAACCAAAACATTCCCAAGGGGAGGTCTACCCAGAAACCTAACAGACAACAGGGTGGAGTATCAGATGATGGCAGATGTCTCGCTTTCTCCCTTCTATCAATGGAGTGATTTCCCTTCACTGCTGCCCATTCCTTATTTATTCCTCTTCAAATCTGTTTCCTTTGACACCCTTCTTACCTAATGTCTCTATTCTCTTAAAAATTATTTTCATTTGTATTTTCTGTTTGTTTTGGTTTTGTTTGGGTTTTTTGGGTGTCGGGTTTTGTTTGTTGCTTTTTGTTTGTGGGGTTTTTTTATTATTTTAAGTTTTCAAGAGGATTTCAAGTACCCTGCAGCTCTTATGTTCTCTGACTGTATTTCTTTCTTTTTTACCAGAACAAAATCAGGCAACTCAACCAATCTCCCTGAGAGGAGAAGACTACAACAATGTACCTTCTACTCCATTATTGCTCAGCTTTGAACATATTGTCCAAGCCTCTATGCTAAATACTAGTTCTGTCTGATGGGCCTGTCTTGCACCCTTTTCTGCCCCAGCTCTTGGGGACTATTACTCAGAAAGCAGAGAGAGAGGGCTTGTAACTCCCCAGGACATCAAGATAAAGGGCCACAGAAGGGACTATAGACCCCACTGCCTGACAAAGCTTCTTTAGGCCTTGCTAATATAACTCTCCTGACTTTTCCCTAATCCTTCTCCAAACCCATTCATCGCTTTTTCCCATAATCACCAAGCCCCTTCCCTTGTTGCAGCTCATTTTCTATTCCTTTTTTATGACTTTCTACAAGATCACTATAAGTGTATTTTCTGTACTGCAATAATGTCATAATCTTCTTTACTCAGATTACATGCAACACTATTCTCAATGCCATCCTATATATCCATGAAACAGAACTCTTGAAAAAATAATGTATATATACGAAATTCTTTTAATGAAAAAAAACCCTTATCTACACAGTTACCGTAGACTAACTTATATATACATGAGGTGTGTTTCATGATACATATTCTGTTTACAAACACAGTATACTGAAAACTGATGTAAAAAGCCATCAACAGATAGCAGAGGCATATTCTATCTCAAAGGAATCAAGAGTCTCTTATGTGCAATAATATAATCACACTAGGACATGCGAAACATAGCATATCACTGTTTTAATGATTCTGCAACACTTGTTTGTATATCACGATTTTCAAATTATGCTGAATTAGCACCACATCTAGTACACAGAAATTAGACCACGGTTCTTACTGTATAACTTGTTACAGTCAATTAGCTTCTGATTATTTCAGAAGCAATGTTTATCTTGACAAAAATGTGATTCCATTCCATAGTGTATCTTAAAATAACTATAAGCCAATTAAATTATATTACTTGCATACAATAAAAACTAAAATTCTGCTCATTCTAATTCTGAAATTAGAGTCAAAATTTACTTTCTGTCTAAAACAAGATCATTGAACAAACATTTAAGGAAAGCAAGCTATACATTTGTGAGACTGCAGAAAAAGATCCATCATTTAATATTCTGCATAAGTTCTTTCCTAAGAAAAATGAAGAGTGAATGTCTAACTTACCATGCTGAAGTGCTGACTCACTGTCTGCAGTCTCCTGGTTGCTGCTACACATCAATTTAAACACAGAAAGCTTAAAGTACACCAGCTAATCACAGCAACTCCCTGATCACATGACTTACATCACAGAATGTGAAATAGTGCATTTTTCAAATCACAACATTCCCTGCCACAGCCTCCTGAATAAATCACATTTAGTGTAAAAGTGCCTCAAATTTAAATGAGTTTGTGGGTAACGCTAAATTAAGGGAAGCAGCTGATAACGCTTGATGGCAAGACTGCCCCTCAGAGGGATCTCAAAAGGTTGGAGAACTAGGCTGACAGAAAGCTCCTGAAGTTTAACAAAGGCAAATACAGTAATGCTGCACCTGGGACAGAATAATCCCTTGCAACGGTACAGGCTGATCAGAAAAAAGCACTGCAGAAAAAGATCTAGGAATTCCGATGAACACGTTCAACATATTCTGCGGCAATAAAAGCTAAGGGTGTATTTGCCTGCATTAGCAAAAGTGCAGCCAGCAGGTTGGGGGAAGTGGTTATTCCTCTCTATCCAGCACCTGTGAGACCACAGCAGGAATACCAAGAGTAGTTTTGCAGTTCCCAGTGTCTAATTATTATTGAAATATTTATTGCCTTTTACCATTTTCTACACAAACAGCCTAGCTGGTTGGAGGCACAGGAAAAGCTTCAGGCTAATAATAGAAATTTTGGGACTATTTCCCAGAATCTGTCTTTTGCACCCAGAAAGGAAGGGCTCCTCCTTTTTGTGTCCTTTCAGATCTGGTCCACATAGTGTGAACAAAAGATTTTGTCCTTGAGCATACAAATAACCAGAACAAAGAACATGCAGTCAGCCATACTGCAAGAACATGACAAGATTTGTAACTGCACCTGCTATTTTAACATTAAAAAAAGTCAAATCTCATCAGCCCACCAACAGAAGTTGAGGAGACAGTACTTCCAGCAACAGGAGGTGCATTATGAAAGTCTGACACTTTTTTTAAATCACTGGCTAATACAAAGGCTAAAATTCCAATTTAGATGTCCTATTCACTCATTCCTATGCTCACATTGGAGACTTGGTGAAAAATAATAACTTGGGGTTAAAGTATTACATTAAATTTCAGATATTGCCATATATTATTATCATACGTAATATGTTCTTTACCAGTAAGTTCTTTGACTCTAAGCTGAAACAAGAACCTGAATAATGCAACTAAATATTACAATCAGAGATTAGATATTAAGACTTACCAACTACTGGTTCAACTTTGTTACTGCCAGAATAGAATGGGAGAGCTTTGGCACTAATAGAAGGGACAGCTATGGGAGATGAACAATCTGATCCAACACTGGAGGCCAGACTAGAAGTTATATGTGAAGAAAGTGGGTTAATGGCTGAAAAAACACTGAGATGGTTCTGTTAAAAAGAAACAAACAGTATATGTAATCACCTAAAACCACACTTTTACACAGATGTACATACAAACATATAAAATAAATACTGTATTTTTAAAAGAACCACCCTCTGAATTAATACATTAGGGTATTTTCACTTATCAACAAATGCGCTTCTCCAATGTGGCTGGACATAACTACCATACAGTTGAATTCTGCTTTCAGAAAAAATATATCTAAATGCTAGCAAATAAACTCATAATGATCTAATAACATAATTAGTCAGCTAAGCATGATGCTTGTTTTCAAAGGGAAAATATCTTAGGAATTGTACCATTTCATTATGCATTCACACACAAATTATATTCTATATTGGAGTTTTGGTCTCTAAATTTTCTCATTTAATCTAAATGCAGTTGGTGCATAAATTGATCTTTGGTTTAGAGAAGACAACCAAGAAACATGACTGCACTGCACATATACATCACATTATATAATGACCTATACCTGTGCTACTTCTTTCTAGTGGTAGAAAGTCATGCAGAAATACTTTTTAGGGCAAATCACAAAAAACGTGAAGAGTTTCCAAGGCTGTCACTCTCCCTAATTTATAGATGTGTAAAGGAAAAGACCCAATGTATACTTCTAAACTGGTTCATGTGCTTTCACTGTTCTATACAGAAAACACAGGATCCACCCCTATCTTGTGTTTTTTCTCATTATTTATTCAGCACCACTCCTCCTGCATTTTAAATGTAACACACATTTCAATCCTCCATCTCAGTTTATACACTCCTGTATGGCTGCATGAATGGCAAATGGTAGAACTTCTGTTCTCATTTATCTTGATCATTGTCATTAGCAAAGCAGCAGGGCTCTTGTTCTAGCAGTGCAAAGATGGCAGAGTTTTAAGATCCTCTGCATATACAGAATCACCTCTAACACTTAGTGTTAGATGCGTAACAGGTCAAAGCTATGCTCTCTTCCCTGTCACTTTAACTGTTTTTGAGCACAAAAATGACCAGAGGGATGGAACACCTCTTCTGTGACAAATGGCTGAGAGAGTTGGGGTTGTTTAGACTGGAGGAAATCTCCAGGGACACCTTACTGGGGCCTTTCAGTTGTTACAAAGGGCCTGCAAGAAAGATGCGGAAAGATGGTTTTAAACTAAAAAAGGCAAAATTCAGACTGGATGTAAGGAAAACATTCTTTACAGTGAGGGTGGTAAAATACTAGCACAGTTTGCGCAGAGAGGCAGCAGATGCACCATTCCTGGATATATGTCAGGCTAGGCTGGATGTGGTTCTAGGCAACCTGATCTAAAGGAAGATGTCCCTGCTCACTGCAGGGGGGGTGGACTAGATGAGCTTTGAAGGTTTCTTCCAACCCAAACTATACTACGATTCTATTATTCTGTGATCTGACACTTGAACAACTGTATCATCATCTTCCTTTGGGCCTTCCTTAAACTTTATCAATCCACCCTCAAATCACATTAATCAAGAATTTCACTGTGAAAAACTATGCCACAGAATTGCTAGAATCAGAAGCATCCCCGAATTGCCTCATAATCTTGTCACCCATCTTACTCCCTGCAGTACAAAACTACTGTACATTTCCACAGAATCTATAGCTTGCTGTCCAAGACCATGTTCAGACAACTTTGCATTAACTCCAAGGAGGGAGACTCTGCAAGCTATCTGGGCAGCCTGTTCCAATGATCAGTGTTTCACGAACAGTAAAAACTACTTTTATATGCTTAGATAGAACCTCCTGTGTTTCAGTTTGTGCCCAGTGCCTCTTGTGCTGACACTGGGCACAAATTTTACTTAGACTATGTTGTAAAGTGCCACGTAACTTTGACAGTGCTTTAATAAATTATTAGAAAGGAAAAATATTTACAGCATTTAGCTTTTGGCAATACCTGCTTGTTGTTTTGCTCATTTGATTTCTGCTGATTCTCAGCTGGGAAGCTTCGATGCTTTGCCTGGAACAAGAATAATCTCTGTAATATATGAACTTAATGAGTCATTGCTGTAAACCATATTACTAGTTTATGAAGGGTCAGGGACATCTCTGTAATGACATCTTCAACTGGCTGACTTTATTTCCCTCACTGCAGTCCCATATGGATAACTAAATTTTAATGATCATAGAGTAAATCTACATGGAAAAGGAAGAGCAGTTGCAGTTGTTCCACTTAGATGCATAATTGAGCCCATGCAAGTTATTTCTGGTCCAAAACTTGAGCAGCCATGTTAGCATTACGTTAGCATGTTGAGCAGCCATGTTAGCATATGGGACGTGTTACTGCTGTGACAGAAGTAACATGTCCCATATGCTCACCAACTGGGGAATACTTCTCCAAGAGGCTGGTGGGATAGAAGCCCGAGATAACCAAAAGTTTGAGTGGAACTGCCTAGATTTTCCCATAAAGTGATTAATAATAAATACAAATAAAATAAAATAAAAAAAATCAAAGTGCGAATTTTCTTTTAACACCATTCTATGAATTAAAGGTAACTCATGAAACAAGTGAGACATACTTAAATAAAACAATTCTAAGAAATTTCTCATTGCCCACTGTGTTTCTGCAGAGCAGGATCCCAGGATCTCTATTTTCAGACCAGTAATTTTCAGTGACTTCCTAAAATTGCTGTAAACTCTGCAAGGTGCTCTCTTCTCCCTAGGAAAAGATGATTCTTTTTGCTGCCTTTAAGCAGTCTTGTTGTGTCTATTCTTTGTTTCCTTTGGGAGAAGCTGTCTTGTAGTGAAAGCTCCCAAGCAGTAACAACTCTCCTCCTCTTTAGACGCCCACCACTTTAGAAACGAATTTATCAGTTGCAAAGTCCATCACTAGGCAACTTCAGTGTGGCCACTAACAGGCAAGTCCATGACATTTCTGTTGCTGAGACACATTCTTTGGAGCAGTATATTACTCACTAAAACCAGCAAAATAGATCTCCACCAATGGTTACATTATTTTGCAATATTGCTGTCTCATGTTCAGAAAGCAGTCAGCTGACACTGTAACTGCCTTGCTTCCACAAAATTTGATCAATGATCATTTGATCCCTACATATAGGGAAACTGGAATTTTCCTGTCACAATGACCAGCTCTCTTACAGCCTGTCTGAACATGTACACGGAAGAAAGCAATTCTAGCTGCACAACTTTAAAGTAATGATCTTGCCATTACCTACAACTTACCATTTAAAAAGAAAAAAACCCAACACTTTCCTTCAATATTCTCCATGTTTTGCTTCTGCTCTTCTCTGTGCATCTCAGGTTATAAAAGTCAATTCTGACAAATCACAGGTTTGCAAGAAGGCTGAACAGCTTGACTGTAGGTTATTTAAATGTGTTATTTGAGGTCCTTTTTTGAACAGGTCCTTTCTGACAATTCAGAAATGTAACCAGTATTATAACAGAGTGAGAAAAATTTAGATTTAACAGGTAAATCCCGGGCTTTCAGCTTTTTTCTCACAGGCCAACAGAGCTGTTTCATATCCCTGAAAAATACCAGTCTTCCCTTCTCCCAGCTATCTGTAGCATTGCCCATTTTCTCCCCAATCCCCAACTAAAGGATTGTAACAGCTCATCAACTGCAATTTCAACCACTCTCCTCTCATTGCTAATGCTACAGATCTCTCTCTCTTCAAGAGGCTTGTTATATTTTACCACCTATGTCTGTCTGGAAAATTAAGTTGCTCAAGGAGAGAGGCAGCTGCAGGTGGGAGAAGAAACAGACTGCAATTAAATCAAAGATTGGAACTCATAAATAGTACCAACAGATGGAAATTAATGTATCTTTTCACCATTCATTTTCAACAATAATTAAAACTGAATCTTAGCAAGCCTAGCTACAATTCCACCCCCTTTATCTTCTTCTGTTCTGGGCAATACAAGCTTAAAGTGACAATCGTAACATTCTGGAAAGTTACAATTTATTGCATGTCTTCTGAGGTGGAGTGACTGTATGAGTGTTCTTGGCCTGTGACAACTGTAACTTTGATGCAGTTTAGCTCACTAAAGATGATAGTTCAAACTCTGTGTTCTAAATGATCAAAAATCAGTGCTGATACACGAGGCAGATGACATTTTCTGCAAAATCTAACTTAAGATTGCATTTGTACGCAAATGTACACATTTGTACACTGATGTGTATGCATTATTCACATACCTGATCTTCTCGCTCAAAGCCTGGTGCTTTTGGATAGCTGCATGTCGGTGAAGAAACACCTGATGTGCTAGACTCAGAACACAAAACGCCATTTGCTAATGATCTCTGTCTACAAAGAGGTCCAAGGGGAGATAAAGAACTACTGCTACCAGAACTTGATGTTACAGTTGGACTTGAAGAACAGGAAATCTGTAGAAGACAGAAAACAGTGTCTAATATACTCTAGGATATTTTTATTTTATTTCCAGCTATAGTTTTCCTTTGTAACGCAATCTGTTGAATTTATAAATTCGTATCAGTCTTATGTCAATACAACCCTAACTTCGTTTATTTGCATGTATTTTTGGTATTAGCTTAAAAAGTAGCAGATGACAAAAGTAACACGGAGCTTTTGGAAGTGCACAGACTTCAAAAGGAGATGCATTTGTACACACCAGAATATAGCCTTGTTTGCTTCTAAGCACAAAATAAATCATAGACAGAGAGTACTTAATGGATATTAATTTACAATAAAGGCATACTTGCTTTCTGACAACCCTGATTTCCATTCATTCATATATTTCTTCATTTACAGTTTAATACAAGCATTATACAACATTTCACTCTTGTAAAAGAACTTGTATGGATCAAGCCAAGCAGCTCAAAAAGAATAAGACACGTAGAATCTTGGCAAAAAGCATCTCAATGACTTCTTTTTTTTTTTTATCTCAAAAGCCTGTTTTTTTAGATTTTTAGACATTACTGAATTTATAATTTTTAGTTCTGCTGTATATTTTCCATAGAGTTTCAAATTTATGAAGTAGAAAACATAAGCTAAAGGTACAATCTGTAAGTAGCGCTGGATATTTTTTTTTTGCTAAAAGTACAATTCTGATCAATCTGGAATTTATGAACTCAGATGCCAGCATCCTACAATATGTTTGACTGGAATTGGGGGCATTGCTTGCTATCTTTTAGTAAACATCTTTTTAGTAAACTCTTCCATTTTCTTAAACTAGATTCATAAGTAGACTCACAAAGGCAGTATAGGAACAGTTGCATCCTACATTTATTTATCTACATTTATGCCTAACAGTCCAATGGTGAGAACCTCAGTAATGACACACATTTCAATACCTTCTATGCTTGTTTCTGAACAGAAACTGCCAGCTCTCAAGGAACTGAACTAGTCGATACAGTAACAGAATGAAGTTCTGCCAAAGTGGTTTTGGTTTGTTTAAATACAAAATACACACTGAACCAGAAGAAGATTATCGCCATCCCCATATTACCATCGGCGAGTCAGAGCTTAAGACAGTTCAGCAGTTCAGCTATCTGGGAAGCATCATTTCCTCGGATGCCACGATCGACAGAGAGATAGACAACAGAATAGCAAAGGCATATAGAGCCTTTGGAAAACTCCATAAAAGAGTCTGGTGTAATAAACACCTGAAGAAAAGTACAAAGATCAGTGTCTACAGAGCCATTGTATTGTCTACTCTTTTATATGGGTCTGAATCATGGGTCATCTATCATCATCACCTGCGACTCCTGGAGCGCTTTCATCAGCGCTGCCTTCGTACAATTCTAAACATCCATTGGACTGACTATGTGTCTAATGTCACTGTCCTCGAACAGGCAGGGGTCACCAGCATCGAGGCCACATTGCTGAAACTGCAGCTGCGCTGGGCAGGGCACGTCTCTAGGATGAAGGATCACCGCCTCCCCAAGATCGTGTTTTACGGTGAACTTGCCACTGGTAGCCGCAAGAGAGGTGCCCCAAGAAGAGATACAAGGACTCCCTGAAACAATACCTTAGCCTTGGCCATATTGACTACCATCAGTGGTCCACCTTGGCCTCCAATCGGGAGACTTGGAGGCACACCATACATAATGCCGCTGACTCCTTTGAGAGTTCACGAAGAACTAGTCTCGAGGAGAAAAGACAACGCAGGAAGAATCGTGTCCCACCTGTTCCACCCAAGGAGACCTTCTGCTGTGCTTTTTGTAGCCGGATTTGCCTATCCCACATTGGCCTTCTTAGTCATCAGCGCGCTTGTAGTAAGCGTGGGTAAATGCCCTTCCCAAATCTTTGTTCGCGAAGTCAAGCCATGATGATGATGCTTGTTTCTGAACAGAAACTGCCAGCTCTCAAGGAACTGAACTAGTCGATACAGTAACAGAATGAACTTCTGCCAAAGTGGTTTTGGTTTGTTTAAATACAAAATACACACTGAACCAGAGAGACTACATAACAACTATATAGTTTATTGTTAAACTCAAACCTTGGGGTTAACCCTAACCCTTAATTTTATTCTATGCTCCAAAGAATGTAAAGTATGTTCAAGCAAATCAGGATTTTAACAGGAAACACCTCTCTCCCCAGAATCACAGAACCTCAAAATGTCCTTTCTGCGCAGCAGGAATTTCACATTCAAATTCCTGTAAATCAGGAAGGGGACCCACATGAACCTAGATGAGGTCTTAACTCTGGAAAGAAAAACGAAACACCTTCAATAACTGTAAGCCCTATACTTGATGAAGATTATTACTTATGCATTCACTCCTACACTACAGAAAATCTCCAGTCATGAACCTTATGTATGTGGAGCTCTGTAATTAGATCGCTTCTGAAGTCCAAAGACAGTTTCTCTATACATGTCTGAAATGTACTTATACCTTGAGAGCTGACAGAAATAGAAGAATGGGCACCACAGCCAATATAATTAAATTGCTAGCCAAGATCTACTCAACTTCTGAAGTCAAAGGCCGAAGAATTAATGCTTTGACCACAAGCTTGTTACGACATGCAGTGTTTCTGTTACCATTTACTCTGAATCCAAAACTAAGGACTGCCCAATACATGGCGACGCTAAGTTTGCACATTTTTTAGTTCTAAAACACCAAAATCCTTACTTTATCCTAGAGAGAAAAAGAAAACAAAAGGACAGGGAAAAAAAACACAACACCAACCAAACCCAAAACAAACAAACAAAAAAACAACCATCAAGTGAAATAAATTTGTTGTTGTTGCTCTGGTCAATAAATACATGCTAAGGTATTCAGTTCCATATCAAAAGATTTTGAAAACTTTTTATGAATAACATCGTTACATCTTGTAAGTACACTTAAAACCATAGTTCTTGTAGCATAAGGCTGCTTAATGCAGCAGATAAATATGTAAGCAAAAATGAGTAGGCAGCAAAGGCAGACTAACACGTGAAGTAAGATATTGATTTTGACAAACTTACTGACTCAGTTTAATGATGAGCTCCCTAATTTGCACAGAATATTTCTCAGATGCTATTTTGTGTTCATTATTTCAGCTAGGCAGGAAACAGAGATTATTTTCCTGACACAGGAAGATGTTCATCATGGTTGCTCCCCTACAATGTGACCTAATAAAGATCAGGGGGAGAGGGAGGAAGGAAGATAGCCAGTATGGATTACTTTTCCTGGAGGGCAACCTGCGGACAACAGAGCCGTAAGTGGAGAACAATGCCCTTGCTCATCCAGAAGCACTGGTCTTGAGGTACAGTTACTGATCAAGATCAGATGGTATCAGGCACATAGACCATTATACAGGACCAAAATGTGGGCCCTCTCTGGAAGGAAACAGGAAGGAAACAGGAGACCTGATTACCTGGGCTATGGAGAAGGCTGAATATTTTTTGCATCAGTCTTCATTGGCAAGAGCTCCAGCCACACCACCCAAGAAGGTAAAGGCAGGGACATAATCCAAAACAGTCTGTGGGAGAGTGAAGAACCGCCTGCTGTAGTTGAAGATCAGTTTCAAGAACAATTAAGAAAACTGAAGGTGTACAAGTCCATGTGACCTGACAAGATTCACCCACGGGTTCTGAGGGAACAGTCAGATGAAGTTGCCAAGCTCCTATTACGCATGATGTCTGAGAAGTCGTGGCAGTCTGGTAAAGTTCCTTCTGCCTGCAAAAGGGAAAACAACCCACATTTTTAAAAAGAGAAAAAAGGAAGGCCCAGGGAACTATAGGCCAGTCAGTCTCACCTTGGTGCCCAGCAAGATCATGGAGCAGACCCTCCTGGAAACAGTGCTAAAGGCACATAGAAACTAATGAGGTGATTTGAGACAGCCAATATAGCTTCACTAAGGGCAAATCATGCCTGACAAATTTCGTGGCTTTTGATGATGGAGCTATGGCATTAGTGGATAATGAGAGAACGACTTATATCGTCTACCTGGACTTGTGCAATGCATCTGACACTGTCCCAAACAACATCCTTGTCTGCAAACTGGGGAGGCATGGATTTGATGGATGGACCACTCGGTGGGCAAGGAATTGGCTGGATGGCCACATGCAAAGAGTTGCAGTCAATGGCTCAATGTCCAAGTAGAGACCAGTGACAAGTGGTGCCCCTCAGGGGTCAATACTGAGACCAGCACTCTTTAACATCTTTGTGGGCGACATGGACAGTGGTATTGAGTGTACTCTCAGCAAGTCTGCTGATGAGACCAAGCTGTGTGCTGCAGTGGGCAAGCCGGAGGGAAGGGATGGGATGCAGAGGGACTTTGACAGGCTGGAAAGGTGAGCCTGTGTGAACCTCATGAAGGTCAGCAAGGCCATGTGCAAGGTCCTGCACCTGGGCTGGGGCAATCCCAGGCACAAATACAGGCTGGGCAGGGACCAGATAGAGAAGTCCTGAGAAGGACTTGGGGATGATGGTTAACAGAAAGCTCAACGTGACCTGGCAGGGTATGCTTGCAGCCCAGAACCCCTCTTTGTGTGCTGGGCTGCATCCCCAGAGCATGAGCAACAGGTCGAGGGAAGGGATTCTCCCCCTCTATTGTACTCAGGGGAGACCAGATCTGGAGTACTGTGTCCAGCTCTGGGGCCCCAATATAAGAAGGACACAAAGCTGTTGGAGCAAGTCCAGAAGAGGCCACGAGGATGATCGGAGGGCTGGAGCAGCTCTGCTCTGAAGCCAGGCTGAGAGCTGGGCTGGTTCAGCCTGGAGAAGACTCGACTCCTTCAGGGGAGACCTTAGAGCAGCTCCAGTGCCTAAAGGGGCTACAAGAAACCTGGAGAGGGGCTTTTTACAAAACATGTTTTGATAGGACAAAGGGTAACTGCTTTAACCTGAAAGAGGGTAGATTTACATTAAATATAAAGAAGAAATTATTCACTACAAGTGATCAGGCACTGGCACAGGGTGCCCAGAGAAGCTGTGGCTGC